TTATCTGATACTAGTGCTGCTGTTCGAAGAGTAACTTTACTTGTTTTGACTCATTTGATATTAAATGATATGGTGAAAAGTAAAACTTCATTGTCTCATATTCCTATATTATTAAATGATCCTCATCCTTAAATACCAGCTATGGCAAGATACTTTTTGAATGAATTATAAAAAAAGGAATAAAGAGCAATAACTAATGCAATTCCTGATATAATTTTAAATGTACAAGATTAAAATGAAAATGTTCTATCATAAATATCTTAATATATTGATAAATCATAAGTTGAATCTATAGTTGATAAATTGATTACTATATTAGGAACTAGTGCAAGTAATTAATAAATTATACAAATATTTAGATTAATACGAGATAAAGAATATATCAATACTATTTAATCATTTAAATTTAACCTAAAATTCTTTATAAAAACTATTAGATGGTTGGGAAGAATACAGAGAAAGATTAAGAGATCAATTTGTGTTCAATTAATTTATTAATTTAATTAAGAAGGTAGTATTTTATTTAAATATATAATATAGATGAAAAGAACTTTACCTTAAGATGCCAAACCTTTAATTGAAGAGTATGAAATGAAAGTAGAACATCATGACAAAGAAACATTTGAAAATAGAAGAAGAGAAAAAACATCCAAAAAAAAAAATGTTAAATAAACATAAAATGAAAATAATAATGATAAAGAATAAAAAGAAAATAAAGGAGGAAACAAACAATAATAATAATAATAATAATAATAGAAAAAGAAATCAAAAAAGAAAAAAGAGGATGATTTTATGGAATTAGAATCAGATTCAGAAGAGATTAGTTAAGAGTCATTAGTTATTAAGAAATAAACAAGTCAAAGAAGAAAAAAAAGTTTAACAAAAAATGAAGATGAATGATTTTTACACACATTTTATAATAGTTTATGAAACCCATTAATAATAATAAAAAAATGGAATTAAATTTCTAATTATGTTTACAATTCTCCTTAATAAATAAAATTAGGTTTTTTTCAAAATGACATTTTTATTATATTATTAAGATATTAAAAAATATTATATTATTCAAAAAATTAGATAAGCATTTATCAAGATTTTGAGACAAATAGTAATTAATTTAATAATAAAAACTATCAATATTATTTTGGAATTAATTTCAGGAGAAGAATTACTCAAATAAAGATAATTTAAAAGTATTAAATGCTATTTATTATTAACTGTATAAATTTTTATTAATTTAATTTAAGAGTTAAAAATACATATTCATTTAAAGATATATAGAAAGTAGGGGTATTAAAAACAAAATATATCAGTTTATCATAAGTTTGAAAATTAAATTAAAGTTGCTAAGAATTAAATTGATATTCAACAATTAATAAAAATGATTTAATAGTTTTAAAGAAAATATCTATATTAGGATACAATCAAATTTTAAATAATCACTAGTAACTTGAGAGATTTTCTTTTTGGAATCAGGAAATTAAATTTATAAAGATTATCAAGTTTAGTTAAGATTAAAAAACTAAACCTTTAATAATTTTAAAGTTTAAAGATCAAAATAAAAGATGTTCTGTTGTTTATTTAATTATCTAATTATTCAGAATATAGAAAATGATTTAGATTATTCTTGTAAATATGCTTAAAATATCACAATAAACAGTTTTAAAATAAAGAATAAATCAATTTTAATACTATTTTAATAATATTATTCATGGCAAATCACATAATTATTCTTATTTATAGAGATCCCAAAGCCTGTTTTTGATCTTAGTGAAGTTATTGTAACATTATTATAAAGTTGAATAAATGTCTTCATTATTTTAAAATATAATCTTAAACAACGATTCACGACTAAAAGTTTGAATACTTAAATACCTTCCAACAACTAACATACCTGTTCTAGCTGCAAATCTTACAGCAAATGGATGATGAGGAGCTAAGGCAATACTATAGGCTTCAGCGCATATTGAACCTAAACTGTCATTTGGTTTAATGATGAGCTTCTCTAATAGAACGGCAACATAATCTAAAAACCACATTAATCTTAAGACAGTTCTTGCAGTTGATTCATAGTCTGTATATACATCCATTTCTGTGCCTTTAAGATGATCACAATTTTCTCCATTATATTTAGCTACATCTAGAAATACTTTTTTAATAAAGTACCCATATTCTTTTCCAATAAGATATATTAAATAAGAGATACATGCACATTTTAAAAGTTTCTCTAATTCCTTTCTATTATATTGCATTTCGATATGATGTCTTGAAATGCTGTTTTTAGTATTCCTCCCATTTGCATGAAAATCTGTATAATACATATATAATAACTTTTGTTGTTTCTCGACACAGCTCAAGAAAGTTAAAGTGATATTAAAAGTATTATAAATCATAGATTATGGCATCTTATAACCATAGAAATTTTTATAGATTGAACTAATCTTCTAATTAATTCATATTATTTCGATTTCATCTTTTATTGTGACGATATCAAAAGAATTTTAAATTAACATATGAATCATTCAGATGGTGCTCAATCTCCTCCATTGTTTGGTATGTATCCTTTACCCTATTGGCCAACAAGTTCGTAATTATTATTGATGATGAACTTTCAAAATCCTTTGATGAGTCCCATTCATAATCTAGGTTCTCCTATTCTAACTTCCAACATTAATTTTCCTTAGCCAACCATCAATTTTGATATCAAATGTGATTAATGTAATAACTAATCAAAATATATCTCTAGCTTAAATTATAAAAGAAGCACCTCAACTCAAATAGCCTTAACAATACTTCAGTCAAATATAAACAATTCAGTAATAAATTGAAGAAATGAATTATGATAATATAACACTAGAAAATCTAGAGCAAATGATTCATTTACTATTTGCAGATTCTTCTAAAATAAAAAAGATTATGTAAAAACTGAAAGAAAAAAAATGTGTTAAAGTAATCAAGATTTTAGACACACTGACAAAAAAAATTAGATCATAATAAAAGAGTAGAGAAGAATTAATCAAATTTTGTTTAAGAAAAGCTTTTAGAGAGATCTTTCATTAAATCTAAGAAAAAAATACAAAATCAAGTAATTATATCTTTAAATTTTAGAACTGAATCTCAAAGCTGCTTCTAAACTCTTTTAATAATCTTATTAAGCAGAAAAATCAAAATAAATATCCTTACCTTTTAGAAAAAATAGTAAAATTAAGACAATGAACAATCAATTTTTGCATGAATTATTTTAATCCAAATAATTTATAGATTAGTACAAGACCTTTTTGGGTATTATACAAATCTCTATTTTCAGATAATCTTGATACAATTATAGAGAATGATAGAAATAAAAAAATTAAAGCCTTAGCAGAAAAATCATGGGAATTTATATCATCAAATAAAAAAGTATGAAGTTGCATTACAATAACTTATAGTCATATACTGTTAAAAGATTACCATGGTCTATTAAGAATATAGAGAAACTCAAGGAGACCGCAAATGACTTAATACATTACTGCGATGAATAATAATAATAAAAATTGTGAATTTNAATAACTTTTGTTGTTTCTCGACACAGCTCAAGAAAGTTAAAGTGATATTAAAAGTATTATAAATCATAGATTATGGCATCTTATAACCATAGAAATTTTTATAGATTGAACTAATCTTCTAATTAATTCATATTATTTCGATTTCATCTTTTATTGTGACGATATCAAAAGAATTTTAAATTAACATATGAATCATTCAGATGGTGCTCAATCTCCTCCATTGTTTGGTATGTATCCTTTACCCTATTGGCCAACAAGTTCGTAATTATTATTGATGATGAACTTTCAAAATCCTTTGATGAGTCCCATTCATAATCTAGGTTCTCCTATTCTAACTTCCAACATTAATTTTCCTTAGCCAACCATCAATTTTGATATCAAATGTGATTAATGTAATAACTAATCAAAATATATCTCTAGCTTAAATTATAAAAGAAGCACCTCAACTCAAATAGCCTTAACAATACTTCAGTCAAATATAAACAATTCAGTAATAAATTGAAGAAATGAATTATGATAATATAACACTAGAAAATCTAGAGCAAATGATTCATTTACTATTTGCAGATTCTTCTAAAATAAAAAAGATTATGTAAAAACTGAAAGAAAAAAAATGTGTTAAAGTAATCAAGATTTTAGACACACTGACAAAAAAAATTAGATCATAATAAAAGAGTAGAGAAGAATTAATCAAATTTTGTTTAAGAAAAGCTTTTAGAGAGATCTTTCATTAAATCTAAGAAAAAAATACAAAATCAAGTAATTATATCTTTAAATTTTAGAACTGAATCTCAAAGCTGCTTCTAAACTCTTTTAATAATCTTATTAAGCAGAAAAATCAAAATAAATATCCTTACCTTTTAGAAAAAATAGTAAAATTAAGACAATGAACAATCAATTTTTGCATGAATTATTTTAATCCAAATAATTTATAGATTAGTACAAGACCTTTTTGGGTATTATACAAATCTCTATTTTCAGATAATCTTGATACAATTATAGAGAATGATAGAAATAAAAAAATTAAAGCCTTAGCAGAAAAATCATGGGAATTTATATCATCAAATAAAAAAGTATGAAGTTGCATTACAATAACTTATAGTCATATACTGTTAAAAGATTACCATGGTCTATTAAGAATATAGAGAAACTCAAGGAGACCGCAAATGACTTAATACATTACTGCGATGAATAATAATAATAAAAATTGTGAATTTAATATTATTAAATTAAAATTTATAAATTAGGAATTTTTTTATAGTTTATCAATTTATTATTCGATTAACTATTTTTACCTTTATTATTAGGTTACAACATGATTTCAACAATTTTTAATACTGGTACTTTTTAATGTGATTTATGTTGATTTATATATATATATATAACTATTTCAAGATACTTAACGAATAAATAATAAAAATTTATATTATTATTAATATGTTAAATATATATTATTCAATTATAATTTTGTTATCCTTGGCTTGATCTATTATAAGATGATGTTTATTATTGTTCTCGTACAGACACTAATTTGTATCCCTTTCCACTTTTTATAGCCTCTAAAATGGCTTAAGTCATTGCAATATCTTCTACATTACTTTAATGTTTAAAATTTAAAGTGTTATATTTTTGTCTTAACTGCTACAATTCTTATTCCTTATATTTAGTGGCTTCATCGGTAGGATCTTATCTATAGATCATAAGATTGAGTTTATTTCTTAAATCTATACTTGTTTTTTATTTTAGCTTAAGTTAACTTTCTAATTACAAAATTTCTTATTTAGCTTACTCAACCTATTGTAATTTTAATGAAGTTTACTTTGAATGAATCTTCAGTGCTTTTCTTTATTTAAGACCCAGTTCGTTAGTGTTATAGATTTCCTTATTTTTAAAGACTAATTTAATTCATTAATTCATAAACTCTTTCTTAAAGTTCATAAACTTTATATCTCCAATACATTTCAACTTGCTCTTAAGGTGTGATTTATTATTCTTGGACAGTTGTCAGAGTCTCTTGAATAACTTTTTATGGCACAGTAGTAACCTAATAATCTTCAACTTGAGGTATCTATTAGACAACTTAATTTTATTATATCATTTAAGGAATGATTTAAGATTATTATACTTTAAGTTACAAATTTTGGACAGGAGACTATTATAATGGTTATTGGTTTGTATTAATTAGTTATTGATTTTATGGTACATTTAATTAAAAATTCTAAAATTATGACTATTATAATGGTTATTGGTTTGTAGTAATTACTTATTGATTTTATGGTACATTTAATTAAATATTCTAAACTGGGGACTATTATAATTGAAATTGGTTTGTATTAATTAGTTATTAATTTTATGGTACATTTAATTAAAAATTCTAAAGTTATGATTATTATAATTATTATTGGGTTGTAGGAATTATTTATTGATTTTATGGTAAATTTGATTAAATATTCTAAACTGGAGATTGTTAAAGCTATTAAGAATAAACTGAATCATTTCTTGGAGGAGTATTAATGATTTGTGAAAGATTTTTATCTATTGAATTGTTTCTTATAGTTTTTTTTGTAGTTAAGGGTTAACCAATAGTTTAAGATACTATAACTTCTGGTGTTTAGTAAACAACTAGTCAAATAAAAGCATAAGATACCATTATTTTATGTACTGGCAACTTCTTTACCATGTAAACCATGTTGGCATAAGTAACACTGTTCTTCATATCTTCCAGAATAAAAGGTTGAAATTTATTAGGAGTTTTTGAGTTCTGCTTATTTTATAACCTATTACTCAATAGGCATTTAATAAGTTTGTTTTT